CTGGAAGGCACTGTCACAGGTGAACATGGCGTTGGCCTTATTAAACGTGATTATCTCGAACATGAACTGGGCGAGTCCACGGTGGATGCGATGCGGCGGGTAGGTTTGCAGAAATTTAAACATTACCCCCCAGAACATAGCCTCATTTTGCGATAAGTTCGGAATGCTAACTCTATAACAACCTTTGCAGCTGAAACTAGCGTTTGACCCTCTTTGTTTGCTTAATTGCGACAAAATTGTTCGAGTGGAGCAGGGGATGCCAGAAGGGGTTAAGTCATGGTGATTGCTTGTGCGTTGTTTAACATTACAAGATAGAGAAGCCGGGGATGGGCAGAAGCGGAGCCGACTGTGTAACAGCTCTGGTTTGTCGTCATCCTACTTGCAAAGAGGAAAGAGAGCGAATAAGGCCCCAGCAGGTCGTCCTCCAACGGTGGAATCTGATCAAAACAATAGTAGTTTGCAGATGATTCTGGACTGCTGTCATATTCAATATCCATAACTCTGTATCCTAACGCCGTCAATGTACGTGCTGTCGTTCCATGTAGTCATCATACTCCACTCCGGACATATACTCAGCGCCTCTAGCCCCACCATGGCCTTCTTCAGTGCCATTGTATCAGGGCACAGAATCCCTTGGAGTTAATTATCAATACCAGAATATGTAAAATGCATGGGAACATGCACCTGACCTAGGATCTACTCACTGGTAAGACTTGTCATCTTCATAGCTTTGCCTCTCCGCCTCCGCATACTGGAAAGGCCGAGGTTCTTCAAGTGATGCTTCGTCGTCATATGATTGCTGGTATCCATGTTGATCTTGCGCCTCTCGACCATCAAGCTTTCCGTGACTTTCGTATCTGTCCACCATGACTGCATCGTCTGGCGAGAGTGGCTCGGGGTCTTTCAACAATATAGACCCGACTCTACTTACAAGGCTGCTGGCTAGGCCCCTGAGTACGCCATCACCAGCAGCCTCGACCGCAGCTTCCTCCAGGCTACTAGAATCAGATCCGTTTGGATCAATGGAGTTGCCATGGCCGCCTTTGCGTAACGCAAGTGGCTTACCGCAGCCGTGACCGGTGTCGTGCACACCTTCCTTATGGTTTTTACCTTCAAATACGCCTTGGCGAGTGAGCTGTTCACGCAGGTACCCCTGCTCTTCCTCGGTCTTGCCATGCCACCATTCCTCGACTGTATGGAACATGATCTGGCGTACATCGGCTGCACCATCTTCTCCATATTCACGAAGGACAGGGTGGTGGAACACACCCACGATTATTCTGTCCAGGGTCCTTGTGATATCAATGTCTTCACTATCCCAGCACTCCATCAGCTGTGGCACAGTCCATTTGATAATTTGGGAAGCTACCCGGCCTGCTGGTTCGTTCAGAACATTTGAAAAATGATCCTTAGAGAGCATAGAATGGGTTGGGTTCGAGGATTCATCGTCTTCAAAAACAATGTGCTGTTGCTTTCTGCTACTTTGAATAACCTCGGAGGAGCCGGTTTGAAGCTCTACCTTTACATGCTTGATAATAGGGAGCACATAGGGTGCCAGAACAGAGAAAACGAAGACCGTTATATGATCTTGAATTTGCTCTACCAATTCCGGCAGAACAGGTAATTTCTCGATGGCAGTGTTGATCGACTTAATAATCTCATCATGCCACTCCAATACGGGGTAGATTTGCCGATGCACCCCTTCCAGGTAGCAGGTCCATGCTTCTGGCTCACGCGGCGATACATCTTGGCGATGTTGCTTGGCGTTCTCTGACTGTGTCCTGAATTCTTCCATTTTATTTGCCTGGGCTTCGCTGTCGTCTAGTAATCCGGCAGGTATCATGCTGAGAAGACCCTGTACGAAGCTTTCAGAAGGAGAACCACTCTGTGAATCAATAATGACACCTTCCAAGGATTGGACTTCAGATTGCGTGACCTTATCAGAAAGCTCACCCAGTACGGAGTGAAAAAAGTCCACCCCGCCGAAAGTGCCGGTAACTACAGGGTAGACGTCATTCTGCGCACCATGGAGCTCAAGTTTTGTATTACGGCCGACATGGGGGAAAATGTCTGATTCACCCATCTCAATAAGACTCAGCTCTGTATAATTGGAATGTGCTGCATAGTCCTCCAGGCAATGCAAGCCAGTCCCGAGAAGACGAAAAGCTTCATGCAAGTATTCATCGTTCTGCGATCTTGCATATTGGCGGCCTAGCTGAATCGAACGACGGAAGACACGCCGTACAAGGCCTGCAGATGTAGCAATGCCAATATCCTCTGTAGCTATGTAGTTTTTTAAGCCTGTCCGTGGTAACCAACAAAGGACTCAGTATGTCACGTTTTGTATAGTATAATAATATGGAAAGTGGTCCAACATACCTGTCATAGGATCAACTGATAGCTCACGCTCCTCGTCAACTGGACCCCTGAGTCGATGATCATAATCCCGAGCATCCTCCCCTTCAGCATAACCAAGAGGATTGTCTATATGCTCTGTAGGCTCATAGCATCCTAGACGTTCCGTAGTCACCTCAAACTCCTTAGTCCCATAGCTAGAGCACAAAGTCAGTTCCTGGCACTGGCACAGTAGGATAATTCAGCAGCTTACCCAAAACTCAAAAAGCCGAGCACCCAGATCAGGATACGGATGGCTTCGGCGCTTACATACTTCAGAGTACCGACATCAACAGCCTGGCTGTAGTCGCGGAGCCAGTTCCCGAAATAGACACGCTGCACATCGAGTTTGTTGAATTTACGGCCGCCGGCCACGCGAGCCAGAAACAAGGTCAACAACACATCTTCGATGTCCCCATGACGCCAATTCTGGCCCTCAATGCGGGATATTGATGCAATATTACCCGCCCCAAAAGCGTGGGCTTGGCCTGAGAATGCCAGAAGCGACAGAAGAAGACATAGGTATTGGACAGTATCAGACATGATACTTCCAGTCTAACGTTGAACGAAGATACTGGCGGTCTAGGGAGAAGAGAAGGCGAATCGCAGGGATCCAGCTGAGTCGTGAAAATTAAGAGGTAGGGTAACGTAGAAGAAGGACCCTGGACCCAGCTCCCTTGGGACGCCTTGTATTGTGAAAGAGCAAGCTAGCCCACAGAAATGCAGGTGCCCCGCCATACAGTCTCCAATTGTCATTGCCAACTTGCCAAGGGTAATTAAATAATCGCACTGTATCAATGATAGTATGGGTGGGGATAATTCGCCTTATACTGATGAGACGGACCATCTTGGCAGCAGATATGACTGGCCACCGATTATCTTTAGGTCTCTTCTCCATCCATGGCATATTCTGGCAGTTCTGGCTGTGCTGTCCTTGAATATGAGGGATTCGAATGAGTTGAGGGGTAAAGAGAGAAATTCTAACCCATTTATTGTTTTGAATGGCGCCGATTCGAACCCATCAAAGTATGACGTGTAGTTAACAAATCATAGACCTCAATAGAAACAATGATATTGTAGCCGCCACAAAGGCTTTGCTGATATATGAACAAGTGCTAGGCAGTAATCTCAATAAACGATAAGATATATACATGTATAGATATATAGCATTTCTAACAGATAACTGAGAGAGAGAAAATCACTACTAACAATACCTGACTGGAGTTAGAAAAGGCAGGAAGGAAAAGAGCAGTAAGTTGCAGTGATAATGCTGAAAAGTAATAATACTGATATGAATCATAAACCTAGGTTTGACCAACACCAGTAGAGGACGTTTATGCTCAATTAGTCCAAGTTAAAAAGTCAACCACAAGTAGATTCTAGAGCAATCGGCTGCGCTATACGCAGCCTCCCGTACTTGGTCAGGGGCTAATCAACTAAAGCTAACTGATTAAACAAGCCTTCAATAGAGACCTAGACCAGTGGCAGAATGTTATCGCAGTACATGATGTTACTGGGGGTTTATGAGAGCTTAATAAATGCCAGTTAATAAATAAATTAGAATTGATAGAGTAAGAAACAGGAAAGACCTGTAAATGATAAACTATCAACCAATAAGAAAAAGAAAAAGAAAAAGCATGAGGTATAAAAAGATGCAAGAAACACACTGCTAGGTAGTACATAGCATGTATCATCCATCAACCAATGTGCCTTATGCTCCTGGTACTTATCCTATATTATGGAGAAGAATCAGTAGTAGACTAGAGCTGGGCCTCCCTACTACTAGGTATTTTAGGTGAAAGTCAACTACAGACATGTGCAGAGATCAAATCAGGAGCAATATATTCTCTAGTCTCTGATAACACACTATTGACAATAATTACAGTGTATATTTAAGAAGGAGAAATAATAATAAAGGCTCATTTAAATGTGGATGGTATTCCAGCTTATTAAATAAATGAGCCAGAGTAACTACTAGGTATACTCTTCTTGTCCGCCACTTTCAAAACGGCTCTCCGCATCCGTCGCACCAGCCCTTTCCCCTCCCAACCCGTTACCCAACCACTTCCCATGGCTCTCCGCCCGCAACACACCCCAAATTTCATAAATTACCATCATTTTCCACGTTCTCCTATTGAACCTTGTACCAGTGTCTCGACTACTTATACTACTATCCTTGACCGCCCGGTGGCCTTCTCACTCTCAGTTGCCTTGGGATGGAGTAATCAAAAATGCCTACCTCTAGAAACCACAGTCATTGCTATTCATATACATGACTGCAGTCTCAATCTCAACTAGACGTTTTCCATTGTGGTCTATCTTCTACCCCTAGGTACTGACTGGTTATTTTGTGATACTCGGCCAAGCTACATCTTTCAACAGACTTATTATTTCCATGCATGGTGTGATCTCCTGGAAGGTCATTAATATACAGACACGGCAGTGTGCGACCTTCCTCACCAGTTCCTTCTACTTCATTACTGCGCCGATGCTACGGCAACAATGCGCCCCGTAGCGCAACATTAATGGTCTCCTTTCCAGTAGTCTGAAGAGAATAGGAGAGAAACCGGGCAGCATCATACTTATCAGTCCGATGGCACACTTTGAAGAACACATCGTCCGAGATTCATTGCCACCAAAAACCCACCAAATTAACATCAGGAGCTTTGAGCCGTCCCATAAATACAAGTGCGATGTCCATTCTGCTCCTCTGAAAACTTCTGGCTCCGGATTCCCCTTCAAATCGTTTCGCAATGATACCCCAGTGCTGGCTCATTCGATTTCTCAAATCATTCATCCTCGCGGTTCTTTCTCACCATTCAAAGCTTTAACGCACTCAGCCCTACCGAAAATAAAGCAGCAATCTCGCATTCTCCCTGGCAAGGCTTCGCAGGATCCTCCGCTCCTTACGCAACCACGGGGAGTAGAGTTTCATCGCTTGGCAGATGTGCCTACTTTGACCACATTTCACGACGACATCGATAATTTGTCACATAGAGAAGAGGGTCTTACCAAATCCAAGCCGTACATTATGCCTTTACTAAAAAAGGCATCACGAAAAGATTCACCAACCACATCACTGGATCTGTCACACTCATCCTTAGAGCATGGCGGTTTAGGAATCATCGCAACTTGCGAGAAAGGGCGCCAGAGTAACTCAGTCGCTGATTTAGCCAATCGAAAGAACATCCCTGGTCTTCACCACCGATCAACTAGCGGGACTTCCCAATTTTCTTCTGCGAGTAGTTCCAGTATGAACAAGCCAGGTTCGCAGAATATTCACCTGATGCGTCAAGCAACTCGCTCTTACACCCCACCATTAAGTCAATCACATCAGGCCTCGGTATTCGAGAGCGATGCCTCTGGCAATAGAGACTCAGTTGAGGGTGAGCTCTTAGGCTGGTCAGGCTCCGACACGTTCTATCCGTCTGTACGTGCATCCTCGGGGCAGATACCACGGTTATCAATACAGACGCATGATAACTCATTCACAAGGCTTCCTGGGATCTCCCAGACCAATGTAGCCGGTCGTTCGTCTTTCGGTTATTCAAGGGATAATGGCAGTACTTTAGATACAGCTTCACCAATCTCCAGGTCATCCCTGGACTTCGTGTTTCGATCCAGGACAAAAACTAGTACCGATCCCATCTCTCGAGCAGCCACGGTACAAGCTGCGCGTCAGGCATTTGAAGAGAAAGAAGCAGCGAAAAAACGAAGGTTTGAGGAGCAACAGATGAAAGCAGAGGAAAAGCAAATAAGACGCAGAGAGAAGCACCATTGGCGAGCTTCTCTGAGAGATGAGGAAACACCGAGTCCAGTTTGGGAAAAGGAGCCACAGGACGCACCAAATCTGCCCTGTGGCTCCGCCCCTATCTCATCCAGACCACAACCCGATTCAAACTCGGGGTCCTGGAAATCTCAACCCAAGAACACATGGATGCTTTTCCTAACCTGGCTACGAACCAGGATTTTCAAGTTACGAAGAAAAATAGGGAATTTAAATTGACGATGTACTGTTATTGTGTTATCTAGATCGCGCTACATATTAGGGAATAGATCATCCCGGTACCTATCATTTATTGAATGTCAAATGAGAGTCCTACTATATTTTATACCAGAGGAGTAGCTCAGTTAGTGCCGAGCGCGGCAGGCTTTGTGAGGATGCAGAAAATAAATTGTTAGCATATGCTGAATCAAACCTCCATTGACATCTGTTATCGCTGGTGTTTTAAACATCACGTGATCTATAATACACTGATGTATTGTACTATTTGCACCGCCGACCTTACCTCAGCAAAACAGACTACGGTATTCCAGACAGCTCAACATACATAGATAATCGGTTTGAAAACTACGGTGTACAAGAGCGACAAAAGACGCCTTTAGTCTCCCGTACCGCACTTCATCTGACCATTCCATCTTGTAGGTACAAGGCTGTCGGGTTCACACACCCAACGGGCGCACCTCCAAACTGGAGGGAGCGCCTCCACGAACATCTCTCATCATGGTATATGATTGGGATGGAAAGCGGGACATCTGCTATCAGATGTATATCAAAGACAAAAAAGCTTTGGAGGAAATTATGGAGTATATGAAGAATGTATATCAATTCGCACCCAGGTGAGAAAGCATCATTTCCACATAAGTACTAAGATCCATCACAGCATCCACGGTTAGATTAACCAGCTACGGAATTAGTAAACGTGCATTTCAAACGCAATTCAAGCATGGGGCTTCCCTTCAAAACAAAATCCAGCACACAAGAACCTAGAACTCGTTGCACGCGTCAAGCAGCTTTGGGAGCGGAATACTAGCCAGCGAGACATGCTTCGAATACTGAATGAAGAAGGTTTCGAAATCAAAGAGAGAGAGCTCATGCGGGTACGTGCTAAAAATCGTTGGTTGCTCCGCGTTCCCAATGGAATGAAATCACAGTCAACTATGCAAGCATCCGCACAACTATCAGAAGATGAAGGCTTGCTTGCATTGCAGCAAGAAGTTTACAAGAATGAGAGCTCATTCAATGACACTGAGCCTCTCCTTACTGACACAGCAAGCCCACGTCCCCCGTCGCCTGGCTTGTCACCAGAAGTTCTAGCCAAACGCAAGGAACGACTAGAACGATTGAAAGCAGAAAGTGCAGAACGCTGGGCTACCAGAAAGCGCCGGCGCCGTACTCGAGGATGGGCAGGGCTGCCAGCCGATCCCCCGGGACCCCCGCGCTTTCCCTCTGAAACGACTATTGATGAGAGTAAAAAGCACTTGAACCTGGATAACGTCATGTATCGTCAAATCAGGGATCAGTTCCAGAAAATTTGCGAGGATGCTGGCTTCATCAAGAAAACAGTTGCTGGGCCCGAAAAATGGCAAGAAGCCAAAAACAAACTGATCCAAGAATCACAACACCTTCAACATATATTTTGGGAGGATCCTAATCAACTTGATGCAAAGGCCCTTGCTCTTGATGTTGTCTGCACAGATGTCACGAAGAGGATGCGCACCTTGGAGAGGCGAATGACCATTGCGGAAGCTAAAAACGCTCTTGGGGTTAATCCAGAGGAAAGCCGCCAAATACGGAATGCATTTTACAATACACTGAAAGCGGATCATTTCACAAGCAAACTAGAGGCTGGTGATGAGCACTGGACGAAATTGAAGGAGCAGTGGATTCAAAATTCTGAGCTGCTTCAACATATTTTGGCTCCAGGGCCAACGGATACAGAACACACTACCAAATTAAAAGCTTTAGAGGTTCTTTGTCGTGATGTCATGAAGCGACTTCGTGATGATCAAACTAAGAGGGACCCAGCCCGTAAACACTCTAGTCCTCAGGAACATACTCACTGTCCTGATTTGGGAAGCTCTCATATTGGCAATGCCTTTAGTGGCAGTATAACTAACGGAATCAGTACACTTGCTTCACAGGCTCTTGCAAGTGCTCCAGTGGCTTCTAGCGATCTAGGTGACTTGCAGATAGACCCCTCACTCCTGCAGGCAGCTAATGATCCCTCGTTTGCCACAGTCGACCATCAGGACTCGGGTCATACCTTTGGATACGTGGACCCCTTATTAGAGCCTTCTACTATGCAAATTCTTGTGTATCTTCGCATTCACGCTCAAAGTTCATTGCATGGGGATTCCAAACCCTGGATTGAAAAACTGACAACGCGATCTGTTGCTGAACTACGCCAACTAGTCAACACCAGATATCCAGACACCTTTATTACAAAGATTGAGGGCACGGACAAGGATGAGAATGGGCATGAGATATCTTTCGTTATAGACGAGGACCACGAATTTGACGCTTACTTGACTCACATGCAAGGGAGAAAAGCTTCGTTTCTTTTTAGCTTGGAACAAGTCTAAACAGCCTTTGTGTCATATCTTGAGGACTTGTAGTATATGTTTTGCGTGTTTAACTTGGTCTTCAGGAAAACTAGGGTGGAATTTCTGCAGTTTTTTTAAGTCAATCACCAGTCAACGGCGGCAGCCGCTTCAATGGGGTGTATTATAAATAGGAATAAGGATGATGTATTACAAAATAATCTACCTATTGGCAGTATCAACAGTGCTAAGACAGGGAAGATGGAAACTTGGCAATTCATTGATTTCGTTGCAATCTAGTGTAGTACTCATGCGTTATTGTTGAAGGGTAGAAATAAGCCCTAATGATATCTCGACTGCCCTGTTTACAGATACAAATAATCCCTTCGGAGCCTGGAGAGCTCTACACGTATCCTGACGGGCTACACGCTTGTAAAGCAGCATGTAGTCACTGCATGTTCAGGAGAAAAGAAAGAAAGGAGGAAAGAAAAGCGAAAGACAATTGAGATAAGTTATATTCTTGTCTAGTCCTCCAGCAATATTACAGGATAGATCTGCTACTTTTCTTGTTTCCAAGTATAACTAAAGGTATCATCTTTATTTCTAAGGGACACACTCAGCCTTAAAAACTGTGACCCCATATATGGAAGGGCCGATTCAATGTCCAAGGTCTAACATATCGTTATTGGCCCTGGCCAGTCATGAATGCGATATTTACGTACAAGTAGGCCATCTATCAGCAAAGTAGACTTATATTCATAACAACCCTTGGTTCTTAATCTTAGGAATTTAAGAAGATCGCAGGTCCAAAGGACTTCCCACATAATCATGGCCGTGGTCCTAGTTAGCCTTATATATAGCGCAGCTACAAGTGATATGGAGACTCCGTAGAACTTCTCTGCAAGATACCATAACTGTACAACATCGGGAGTTATGGGGCGCAAGTAGCACCTGGAAGGCCAGTAGAGAACCTCTCCCCTCCCTTTGACAGGGTATAAAGTAGTTATGGTAGCAAGGCCTCTGGCGATGGAGATGCATGCAAGAGCCAGGTAGATCCTAATCAATATTGCAATGTATTTTCAATGAAAGGTGCTTCCTAACACCTTAATGACTAACCAGTGAGAGCTTGTACAACATCTTGGAATAAGACGGTAGCAGAAGGTAAAACAAATGGAGAATCATTAAAGATCCCAGCCAGTTCCTTGTTTTGTGGAGGTGATGCTTCCAAGCCATCCATAGGGGTTTGTGAAGGGTGCTGGTATTTAGTACCATACACACTGTTTCCAAGTAATCCTGCTAGTCCAGAATTGACCTTATCCGCCCAGTCTTGGGACGGGAGGGCTTGAGACGTCTTTTTGCTGTAACCAAGTCTTTGTACATTTGCTGCTACATCCAGCACAATGTAGTCACCTGATCGTGAATCAGGAAGCAAGGCATGGGCGCCTCTCCCTAGAGGTAGCTGGCCAAGCAACGATAATGACTGTACATCATACACCTGCACAAAGTGCTTGCGCCCTTTTTTGGGTGCAGTAGGACTCTGTGGATGCTGTACAGTGACAGCGAAGGTCTGTGTATTGGGATCCACTGCCAAAAGCCGGTACGCCTTCTCACTAGAGGAGTAATCGACGTCTAAGTTGCGAGGTGTCCTCACTATATCATCAACTGTATCCCAAACAGATACAGACTGTGTTGAAGCGATAACAAGGTGACACCCTAGGAACCTTGCTACACAGGGATCCCCTGGATACAGTCCAGCTCTACTGTAACGGACAGTACAGCTTTGAACATCAACAAGCACGGCAATCCCGGGACTCCCAGGATGCACTGACTGTAAGCATACAGCAAGCACGGAACCATCCTGAGAAAATGCTATGGAAGCCATGCTCACACTGTCAAGATTTTCGCCGTTGACGTATCCTTTCAAATCGACGGTATTCCGACATTTCCAAGTCTCGAGCTGCTCTTCACCATGCTCCATCTTCAATCCACTGCGCTGTCTACTGCTTGGGCACCACAAGCGTAAAACCGCGTTGCTTCCGATTGTTGCAAATTCATGGCTAGCTGGTCGAGATGCAAGATCTAAGACCGGAGCCGGGCTCTTTCCTGAAGAATGGGGCCCATCAACACGCGTGACAAGTTCCCACAAGCCAGCCGACTTGCTCCATCTCCAGAACTTCAGGAATATCTCTTGATAGTCTGCGGTAATGCTGCGCATACCAGTCCCATTGTAATCAAGAGCCTCAATATCATGGGGTTTGGGGCTCCATTTATCAACTGTAGACATCCACTTCCCATCATGAGAAACACCTAGGTGAGTGACGTTCGGTGCAGCAATCTGTGAACCTTCCGGGCTGATTTTCAAAGTTGTCGCGTTAGTGCGCGCGAGAGCTTGGCGAGATATATGGTTATTGGAATGGATATCGTAGGTCTGGAGGACACAGGAATTTGCCAGATGGTGACCTTCATGGGGGGCTTGACGTGAGGCCGGCACAGTTATCAAGAGCCGATCATAATGCTGTGGGTGTAGTATCGCTACAGCTGGTGAGGGTTGTGGATATACCCCTACCCTAGGCTTGTTTATCTGTGAGTACGACTGCAGGCCGGTTATGGTAGCGAAAGGTTGCAGCTCTCTCGCCGATAAAACTATGATAGAATTATCAGCTAGCTTGATGGCGTATGAGTTGCCAGTTGAGGAGACTGCAATGTTGCAGATTGGAGAAGAAAGGTGTGGAAGAAACTGCTTCCGGCCTGTATCCAACTGCCATAACACCATAACAGATTCGTGACCTCCGGATATAATATAATTACCTGGTTGGATATTTAGCCACTTTTCACGATCATACTGCAAGGAACGTACCATCAATTGACCAACGAACTACATTAACAAGATCCCTGTGCCAATGCAGCCGTCTAGGAGTCACAGTTTTCTCGCCTCTGTGGTGCTCTTCTCTACCAACAAAGTTTAGAATGTCGTGATATACCAAAATAGACCCATCTGAGCTGCCTAAGGCCAAGTCAATGCCAATCGGACCTTTCTTGTTGTTCGAACTTTGTCCTTCAACCCGAGATGATGTCGTAGAATGCCGAATATCAACACAACTGATGTTGACAGGCAAAGCCACCTCTCTCCAAGTATATTGCATTAGCTCAGGAGCATTTTGGCCAAGACCTTGAGTTCCGATGAGAACGCGCTGACCGCTGTATGCAATGACAGCTTGGCCATTAGATATGCATTTTATGTGGTCAAGCCGAGAGCTTGTTTCGAGGATGACAGTTTCGTGGAGATTCTTCTCACTTAAGTGAGCGACAACGACCTCCCTTTTCCCAGCTTTGTGATCTCGCAGAATCAATAATGCACAATCTACCTCACGTTCATTAACATTGAAGGACGGGCTAACGGAAATTATTTTACGGCCCATGGTCCAATGTGAGACTTGTTTGCCAGATAGCCAATCCCACTTGCTAACAGAACCAGCCGAGGTAATTATGTAAAGATGCTCCTGATTCGCTGAGGAAAGACTATATCCGATGATGCTCTGATTTGGCTTCAACTGCAGTGTGCGAAAGAGACGAGAGGTTGCGACAGAATAAACATGAACAGCTGCCTCGAGCCCGACAAAAAGATACCTATAGGTTGGCTTAGAAAAATGTGATGGTCATTTGAAGGACAGAACATACTCCTCATCGCAGGTAAGAATTGGGTCTATGTTGGTATACTGTCCCGCGACTGGTGCAGATAAAGACCAAGGTTTAGGAGTTGCAATCTTGTCTTGGTCGATGTTATGCAGTGAAGAACTATTTGCGACATGTTCTATCTGATGGGGGTCATTCATTTCTTTCGAAACATTGGAAATCGTTGGCCCCAAGCTTTGCTTGATCTCATCCTTGTCTCGGGAAGTGCGACGTCGCTTGACTCGCTCTCCCTCTGTGCAAATCAATTTATTTTGCGCTGCATCGCTGGCTCGGGATCTCTTGGCGAGACGCATCAAAGAGTTAGAACCTGACATCGTTGATTAACAGAAACGTCTGTGATGCTGGATAGACGGATGATAGCAAGTCTAGAAAAAGAGAGCCATGATCTCGTGTTAGTTATTCAATAGTATGTACGACTGAAAGTGCTTCTGGACAACACGAGACTTTTTTTTTTTTAGGTATCCTGCATCATGGACCGGCCGCTAATTGGCTAGCCTCTTTTGGATTAGATTAAATTCCTTAAGGAGTAATAAGTGGGTACTTACATATTGGAATCTTTTCATCCATTGAAGTCTCAGCACTGGTTGGGTGTTCCAATATCTTGAATACTTCCGTCTGTCCTTCAAGTCAATCATTCCGTATTAATAGGGCACAACAGAAATTGCGCGCAATACCCACACTCAACCATAGCGTACGGCAGCTATTCTCTCGGCGTATTCTCTATCCCCAGCAGTCAATCTAGTCGCTCCTTATAACGCGAAATATAACCAGAGATGATCATTCCTGTCCGGTGTTTTTCATGTGGCAAGGTAAGCACCATACCCTTTGTTCACTTCTTACCGCGGCTTATATAGAGGTCGATTAGGTTGTTGGGGATCTTTGGGAACGTTATCTACATTTACTCGATGAGGGTGTTGCAGATGGGTATGCGATAGACTTACCCTCAATATTTGTGGTATTTGCGCGGTTTCTAATCAGTGATTTTAAGTGATGCTATGGATCAACTTGGTTGCAAGCGGTATTGCTGCCGTAGGATGATCATGACCCATGTTGATTTGATTGAGAAACTTCTTCGGTAAGTGCCGCTCTAACATTGAACCTAACTGTTCACTGAACTGTGTCACCTTGTAGGTATAACCCAACAGAAAGAGATCGTGCAAAATCTCAAATGTAATTTCATTGAACCTTCATTGGAACTGATCTTTCACGGCAAATCACTTTCCGAGGTGGTGATGACGGATGCTCAGCTTCGCAAATTTATTGGCTCGTGTGAAAAAACAGCCAACACTGGATGTCCGTTGTCTCGGGCTTTATGGGGTATTCAGGCGCATCAATTGCTGCTGTAATTC